GGCGATGGATGACGACAATGATACTGTTGAGGACGCAATCCGTCGTAAGGAGGAGAAGAGAGCCAGGAGAAAAAGAAGAGGTGAGCCTGACAGTGATGCGGAAGAGGAGATGCCGAAGAAGCGTGGAAGACCACCAAAGTCTAAAGACGCAGAAGAAGAGGATGACTTCAATGGCGGTGACCTCGATGACGTACCAAATGATCCTATAATCGAAAAAGGATTGCAGGTTTTGGATGGCATCGCAGAACTTCGGGCCGAAAGCGATGGGCATAGCATTGCCGACGTCTTTTTAAAGTTACCATCCAAGAAGTTGTACGCAGATTACTATCTTGTAATCAAGAAGCCAGTCGCACTTAATCAGATTCGCAAGCAGCTCAAGAAGGAAAAGTTTGAAACCTTTGACGACTTTTTGAATCAGCTCAAGTTGATGTGCACGAACGCCAAGACTTACAACGAGGAAGGTTCTTGGATCTATGAAGACGCTCAAACGATTGAGAATTACTTGGAAGCATACTCATAGAGTGCTTGTCGTTGAACCATGCGTCCTTCACCAAGAGAGTACAGGCACACTAGCCGAAAATCCCGCACCTGAATATAATTTACTGTACAATACATACCAGATCTACAAAAGATAATATGCCTGTCAATCGTGCTTACTCTGCCAACTTCATGGGCTCTGGCCTGCTGTATCTGCATTCTCGCACATTAAACGACCACAGCCTATATTCATGCAAGTTAATTAGGCTAACGTAGTGAACAATGCTTCTGGCCGGTTACTGTATCGATATTTGTGATTTCCGCAAGGGACAAGATCCGTTTCGACGAAATTTGTCAAAGTTTATTTCGAAGTGATGCAATTTGATAAGAACTTGAGAGTAAATAGCACATACTTGGAAATTGCGCTGAGCGACGGACTGGTTCACGTCAAGCTCTCATTTTTGCAACTGTATAATTATCCGCTTGAAAGATTCACGAAGGTCCAGACCAAAAATATTTTAATATTGATAAATGAACCCGAAACACTCCCGGCAATCAATACCCTGTTTCATTGTTACATGAGTACGATCTGTCGGGAATGGATTGGCCCACGCAATCTGGCGATTTTGATGACAAGGCCTGACATAAGACGATACTGGCATATGTACGGGCTCAGTGTATTTTTTGACGTATCATAGAGCTAACAATGTGCACTTGTCTTAAGAGCACAACCTCGAGAGATCATCCGCAACCGACATTTTTTAGTCAAAACAGTCCTTTCTGAACACATCCACAAAAAATCTACACATCAAATTGAAAGTGCCGAAGAAAACACCCGATTGCACAAAACCTATCAAGAATCAGGTCCGGCTATATTTAATTTATTTTGATCGCCTTTCATTTTAAAGAAAGCTCTGTAAAAACGCTGGCCACAAAAGTAGAGGGGCACTTTGCATCCTGATTTCATCAAACTTGCTTGAACGAAACAAAAGAAAAAAAGATAGAACTATGCGCCAACGGAATTCTTCGACGAAATTTGAAAAGCGCAAACTGATGGCGGTTCAGATTCCCTGAATCAGGGCCCAGGGGAAAAGAGCAGGAAACGCATGAGCCGCAGTGTAATTTTGCGCTCGAATTTGCGCCTGATAAGATCTCGCGGCATTCGGTGCGTTGAGTCGCGGTGACTTTCCTTGACAAAATCGTGATTCGATCCCCCCAGGTCAGACCTACCGCACACGATTTTTCAGGTATTCCGCTTGATTTTTCCGTCTTCTAGGTATTCTTGACAAGACGGGAGTTTTCAAGGCACTTTAATCCTGCCTCCTACTAAGCTCGAACCTTTTCAGTCTCTTCCTTGCGGCCGGCCAACCTGTGTGAGCATTTTGCGCTTTTCCCGAAGCGGTCAATTTAGCGCATTCGCACCGCTGCAGTGCGCCGGCGAGCGTGGCTGCAAATACGCCGATTTTCAAGAATCACCTGAGAACACATGCCCAATCCCTACCGTTCTCATGCTAAAATACGGAAATAGTGTGTTTTTTAGAAATCATCTGAAATTAGGAAAAAGCGTCAAAGTGAAGAGCATCTTAAAACCATGAACGAATGAAGTTTCTCTTTATTTGTTTCTGATGCACGGCTTCGTTCGGCACGAGAATGCTTATCGTGTAATCACGTGTAGCATACAACGCTTATCGCGTTCAACATTCTCAAACCTAAGCTTATCCCGACCAACGCGTTGATGTTATCAGTATTAAGATAGCAGTTTCAACCACTATAAATAAATATGCTATCTGAGTGCATCAGTTTGCTGTAAATTCAAAATAACATTTTCAAGCCCAGAACACATACAGGTAGTTAAAGTTCAATAGACGTGCCCATCTTCACTGAACTTACAATTCATTGAAATGATACAGCCCATTCTCTCACAACAGGAGGTGCTTGAAGCAGTCACGTCTAACCCGAAGTTCTACAACAATACGCAGAATGTGCAGGCGCCGCATATCGACCCTATCTCTTCGAGTAATGACGCGGATCTTTTGGCGCAAATCGGATACAAACAGGAGTTCAAGCGTAAGTTCAACTCCATACAGGTTTTTGGCGTGGCGTTCTCCATCATGGGCCTTTTGCCCTCGATAGCTTCGATCTTGGGAACAGGTCTTATCGCCGGTCCTGCAGGGGCCATCTGGGGCTGGCTCATAGCAGTGGGGTTCATCATGACGATCGGCTTGGCCATGAGCGAAAATGCTTCCTTTCAACCGACAAGTGGAGGATTATATTACTGGACAAATTTCTATGCACCACCCAAACTCAAGACTGTTTTTTCGTTTGTCATTGGCAACACGAATACTATGGCACTTGTGGCAGGCTTGTGTCTGATCAATTACGGCTACGCCACGCAAATCTTGTCGACTGTTGTAATCGCTAAAGACGGGGACTTTGAAATAACTCCTGCAAAGACATATGGCGTGTTCGTTGCAAGCGTGTTGTTACATATAGCCATCACGAGTGCGTCTTCCAAACACTGCGCATGGCTTCAGACTGCATCCATCATCGTGAATGTCACTGTTATATTGTTGTTTGTTATTGCTATGCCTATTGCGGCGTGCAGGGGCGAGCCAAGGCCGGCTTCGTGGGTATTCACAAACTTCGAGACCCTCACGCATTACCCGATTGGGTGGGTGCAACTTTCGCAGGCGTGGTTGCCGGCAATCTGGACAAACGGAGGCTTTGATGCTTGTGTCCACATGGCCGAGGAGTGCATAGACCCATCCAGAACCATTCCGTTTGGCATTATCACTTCTATTGCCGTTTGCGGAACTGTGGGGTTCGTGTTATTGGTAGTTACGATGTTCTCGATTCAGACATACGATATCGAAGGCCACATCTTGGGGTCCAAATTTGGCCAGCCGATGGCTCAAATCATCTATGATGCTTTTGAGACCGTGCCGGGCCAGGGCAAGAAAATGGCGATTTTCTTTATGATTTTGATTCTGATTGGTCAGTTCATGATTGGTGCGTCCGTGCTCACGGCAATCTCAAGACAGATTTTTGCGTTTGCAAGGGACAACGGCTTGCCCATGTCGTGGTGGGTAAAGCAAGTCCATGCACGGCTAGCCGTTCCGATCCACGCGGTCATAACTGGCGGAATCCTTGCAATTGTGGTGGGACTTTTGTGTCTCATTGGACCCACGGCTGCAAACGCTTTGTTCACTTTGGTGATCGCTGGTAATTACCTTGCTTGGGGCACACCCACGTTTTTGAGGCTTTTGTACATGGACTCCAAATTTGTGCCTGGAAAATTCTTCTTGGGCCAGGTCTGGAGCAGGATTAATGGCTGGATTTCGGTGGCTTATGGCCTTTTCACGATCATAATGGTGATGTTTCCTACTGACACTAATCCAGACAAAGAGACTATGAACTATACCATCGTGGTGGCTTCCGGGGTATGGATTTTGTCACTTGGATATTATTATGCATACGCTCGTCATCATTACCATGGACCTGCCAGTAATGTTGATGATAATGACCTAAACAGCGGGGAAGTGATGCACGTGGATGCCGTCTTGGAGACTAAGGGTAGTTTAGAATAGGTTGAACTCAAGCTCGAGACTTTTTCTATCAAGTGTTAAACCTTCGAATTTGTAATGGATTTGAATCGAATTCTAGGAACAAAACAGAAGTATCATCTTGTACGTTGTTCTTTGAAAATTTCAGTTTAGATCTGGAACTTATTTGATTTTTAAGATAAAAATAACGATTTGCAAAAATAAGACCTGGCGTGCCACTTAACGTATTTCCGCACCTGGTCGGCCACCCTCGGTTCTTGGAGCTAATATAATTGAGAAAAGGTTGAGTGCACTTTCACCTTTTCACGTCTATTTGATATGATAGAAAATCTCACCATTTTAACTTTTATGAGCTTTTCGTGATGCTCAACTCGAACCAGTAGAGTCACTATCTGGAATTTGACACACTTTTGCTACTCACGTTAAACTATTTTTCACGGCAGTCTGTCCGATAATTAATCACGAAAACTACAACTTTATTTCACCCTAACGCTAAGCCTCTGCTCCATTTTTGTTTTTGTTTTGTTTTGCATTCAGAAACCAGTCTGATGATGGCGTCAAAGGTGATAAAATCTACATAAAAGAATGCCTTGTCACATCACATAGAGCTTTCGTCAATGTCTCACACAACGTGACAATCGCAAGGCTTTCACAACGTAAACAACCCCAAACGTGTCTTTCTTTGAGACTTGAATGGTTTGTAATTTAATCAACTTCATCCTGGGTATTGTTTTATTAAAATATTCTCCTTTGCCTTTGAGAGGCGTTGAAAAAAATTGAGCTATCCGATGATAGATAATGAGCGGAATTAATTGGCTGGGGTGAAGCTGAGGGCCGCATCTGAAACGGGAAGAATGAAAAAAGGGTTTTGATGAAATCTGGATTCCAGTGCGCCGGCGTCGACAGTCAAACTATTTTCTTATTATATATTATTCCTGGACGAATCCCCTTTAACAATTCTCCGGTATGGTGTAATGGTTAGCACACGACGCTCTCACCGTCGAGATCGGGGTTCAATTCCCCGTACCGGAATCTTTTTTTTTTTTTCGAAGATTCCGTTCACATAGGATCTCACAATCCGTGAAAACACCTCATGTTTGAGGGTCGTGGTTCCGGCGTACACAATGAGTAGAACTGTGTTAGTGCGGCAAGATCTCGTATCACAGCCTGAGCTTCTAATTGATAGAGTGGCCGGCAATTCAGGATCCGCAATAAAAATACCAAAACCGATCATTATCAAGCGCCTTCAAATTTTCCATTCATTCTCCCCCAAATCGGCCGACTTCAACGACGATTGTAGGTTCACAGGGACTCATTCTTTTGTATTTGTTAAATGTTAGAACTGTATAGATGCGCAAGCATGTATCAGGGCCCTCATAAAACATCCGTAAAGCTTGCTAGGCTCAAATATCCAGGGTGACATAATGCGTCATGAAGAAACGGACTCTCCGGAGAAGAGTCCCCGGGACAAAGTCCACCTTCAAAGTGAAGGATTCCAGTATAAGCCGGAGATGCAGACTCCGAAAGAGATCTGGCTAGTTCTCCCGGCACTGGGGGAAGATCACTCTAAGACATTGATGACTGATAACCCATCATAGAGATAAGGAGTAGTAAACCAAATTAGATAGAATCTGGTGTGTCCATCAAGTCAGTGCTCTAGGAACCGAATTAAGCATTCGTTGGATCCTTGTGAGAGAGTAGTTGTCCACAATGAAAAGCTTTTACTGGGAAGAAAGAGAAAGCATCCAAGATGCAGTGCTACGGCAAATACTAGAAACGTATGCGCAAAGGACTCACCAACCATAAACAGACTTGTACTGAATAAGACAGTACAGTCACGTGTTTGGGTCGGTTCGTGCTTCAATACTCCTCTCGATGCTTGAACTTTGAGCTTTTGACACTTAGTCTCCAAGTAAAACCCACAGATTCGGTATCTGAAAGGTGACTCTGCAAAAAAGCCCTGACAAGTCGTAGACATGTAAATCTGCATCAAACGCACCGTGAAATGTGCGGTGTCTTCTCCATGCCATTTAGTTAGACCATCTTGAAAGTGGCAGCTGTAACCAGACATTGGGGGACATGGCGCCAAAGCAATCATTCCAGCGTTTTATCGAGCACAAATTCAAGACGCAAGAGATGAAGTTCAATAATAGGACAATCATTGAACAATGGTCGTAGATCCGGGTGCAGGACTATAGTTTGTGTTGGCACACGAGAACCTACCTCTAGGTGGTGTTTCGTTCAGTTGCCAATCCAAAGTGATGTGTCGATCGTTGATCCCGTGCCATCCCTTTTTATGTCATCCGGAAAACTGATGTTAACTTCCATTGAATGTTAAAACCTCATATTCAACAAAAGTAGCTGATTCAACAAAAGTAGCTGATTCAACCGGAAATGGATCCGATCAGATTATCAGAATCTTTCATATATGTGGTATCCGGACAAGTCAAAGGAAGCAAATCAGCAATTCCGAGTATACATCGCTAGAACTCATCGACGATCGATTGAAAAACGTCAGAACGACAATCAACAATCACGCGTGTGTACCATGGTGTAATTAAACCACTCAGTAGATTGCAATTTACCACACCACAGAAACCTCCTTTCTCGCTATCAACAGCTCTAGGATATCACATTTGGACAAGTGTGCAAGTCGACTAAAATAACCGATCTTGACTCACCTTCATCACAAATGGCTTCGAATATCCATGTTCGGGCTCTTAAGTGTCCTTGTTCGACAACGACAAACGAAGCATGTGTAAACCCTATTCTCCCCTTCAGTCGAGCATTGGCTCAGAATCGACTAGTAGTCATCCAAGTTTGGCGAGCCATAGAAGGCGTCATCAGTAACAAAGATACTTGTGTGTACGTGCATGAAGTAAAGTCCATAGAACCAGCAAAAAAACCGGTGTAGATCTGAAACCCCACGCACTGAGGGTCACAATTCGGGAGATAGTCCCGAAAACCCTAATGTACTAGACTATTCGTCAATGTTGAGTCGAGAACGCCATCAAAAAGACATAGTGAGAGCGGGTGTTAAAGACGAACCCAAGAAAACGCCGCTTAAGAGAACGATGAAGAGACAATCGTGTTAAACCAAACGGAGTTCATTACTCTCCGCGAGGTATACCTTCAAAACTCGAAAAAGGATCCGAGTGAAAGGTGAAAGGGGACACCTTGTGTGCAGTGAAGAATCAAGGCGTAGACCGTGCCAGGCTGCCAGCTAAGCAAAGCAAAGCGCCAGCGAGTACCAGTGACGGTCAAGGGCTGGAAGCAAACGCGTCAAGGATTTATTCATCAAGCGGCGGCTTCGCGAGGCGTTAGCGATGCCGAAGGCAAACGCAAACAAACCATCCGACAAAAAATGCTAAAAATTTCGTCATAAAGTGCAATTGGTGGGCTGGTGCCTAACATCTGTGCCCTAATTGCAGCCAGCAGCCGCACCAGGGCGCAAAACGGAAAAAGAAAAAGCAGTCACAATATTGCGCTCATGTTTTCGCCATGCGCTCACGTGACCTGGCGCGCGCAAAACGTTCAGAAGCCGAATACTATGCAGTCTGCAAAAAAAAATTCTCAGCTCGCAATTCACATATAAACCCGATTTTTCACCTTCCTCTACCCAATACTTTTTTTCATCATCAGCAGCAATGAAGTACATCCAAACCGACCAAATCTTGGACATCCCAGAGGGCGTGACCGTCAACATCGACGCCAGATCCATCAAGGTCACTGGCCCAAGAGGTGTCTTGCACAAGGACCTCAAGCACATTGACGTCACTTTTGCCAAGGTGTCTGACAAGGCCATCAAGATCACTGTCCACAACGGTGACAGAAAGCACGTTGCCGCCTTGAGAACCGTCAAGTCCTTGATTGCTAACTTGATCACCGGTGTCACCAAGGGTTACAAGTACAAGATGAGATATGTGTACGCGCATTTCCCAATCAACGTCAATGTTGTTGAGGTTGAAGGCCAGTCTTTTGTCGAGATCAGAAACTTCTTGGGTGAGAAGCGTGTCAGACAGGTGAAGATCTTTGAGGGTGTCACCGTTGAGCAGAGCACCACCCAGAAGGATGAGTTGATTTTGTCTGGTAACTCCTTGGAGGCTGTTTCCCAGAACGCTGCTGACATCCAGCAGATCTGCAGAGTCAGAAACAAGGATATCCGTAAGTTCTTGGACGGTATCTACGTGTCTGAGCGCGGTTTGATCGACGCCGAGGCCTAAGTGTGTGTGCGTGCGGTTTAATCAATACATTACTTCTTTTGACTTTTTTTTCGGGGGTCCCGTGTATATACGAATACGGCTTTTATTACGGTTTTACCCGGTTTCAGGATTTTGTCATCGTGCTCATTGCAATACAGAGCCACCGACGATCCTTGTAGCGAGACCTGGGACTTACACTAGCTTTCTGTTTTGGCGTAATTTTCGTGCCATGACGTCTTTTGGTGTTCTGTGGTGTGATTATTGGTGTTTGTCTCAGGTCAGTATAAATTCTTTCTCACTTTTCCTTGTCATTGTTTGGTGCTGAGAGGCTGGCGCTTCTCCTCATTTAACTGTGAACATGGAAAAGGTCGATTTTGTTCATATACATGAAGTCCGGCTGGAAAGTAATTATCCTGGATACGAGATGGATATTTTCCTGAGCCAATTTCTCCAGATGAACTTTGCTCGATTGATTTAAACAGTGAATGAGAGTTAAGTTCTGACATCACGTTCGAATATAGGTTTAGTTCTTTCAAAAAGGCCTCAATTCGGAATTTTGCCATGTATCAAGCATGTTTTCACTTTTAAATCACTTCTCCCTTTGATGTATCACGTGACGCCAAATGACGTGTTGAAAGCATGTCACGTGCGCCCATCTAAACCAATGATCAAATCGTAACTTATCTCTTCCACCTCCAACCAAACAGCTACATGACTTCTCCGGTCAAGGTCGCCTTTCTCGGGCCAGAGGGAACGTATACGCACCAAGTATGTTCTTTAAAATGACTTTAACGGCTCTCAGTATGGCCATTCCAATCCGATCCAGGCACTAACGATAGGCTGTCACCCAACAGTTTGGCAATGACCCACAAATGGTGACGATTTTGCCGCAGTCGTCCATTAAAGCGTGTTTCGACCAATTAAACGAGAAATGTGTTGACTACGCGGTGGTTCCGCTAGAAAATTCGACAAATGGGCAGGTCGTTTTCACATACGATTTGCTCCGAGATTGGTTCCTTCCTCAGGACGGTACAAACCCGCCAGAATTCTCTGTGGTCGGCGAACAGTTTGTGGCTATCCACCACTACCTTTTCCTGAACGCATTAGACTTATCAAAAGTCGAAAAACTATATTCACACCCTCAAGTATGGGGCCAGGTGAGTGATTTTCTCCGTAATGAAACATTCAACGGCAGTTACAGCCGTATCGACACGAGCTCGACGGCACAGGCGGCGGAGCGGGTCCATGAAGACAAGAAAAACGTTTCGGCGTGTATCAGCTCACAAATGAGCGGCAAATTGTACGGTTTGCCTACAAAGGCGGCCGAAATCGAGGACATGAAGGGGAACACCACACGGTTCCTTATTCTCGGATACGGCGCAATGCTTAGCAGTGAAAATGGCTTGGCCTTGACAAAATGTGATGAAACTGCAACCCCAAATTCCAAAACTTACATCACATCGTTGGTTTTTATATTGAACGATAATGACCCAGGCGCCTTATGCGAGGCATTGCATGCTTTCAAAACAAACAACGTGAACCTCACTTCGATTGCGTCACGGCCGTCGAAAAAGACACCTTGGGAATACGTTTTTTTCGTGGAGGCGGAAGGTTTTGGCGAGAGTGAAGCGATGCAGCGCAGCTTTCAAATGTTGAGACACCAGTGCCGCAAAGTGGCCATAATTGGACTGTTTTTGCGTTCCTGGCGGTACAGAAAGGAGTAGTTTACATTGGCTGCAAAACATATGAGCGCCAGTAGTTTAGAGTATTTGTGAGAATCATTAATTGGACATTCTTATGAGTTCAGCCTAAGGCTTGGGTGTAGATCAG